TATTTTGCTACGTACACTGAGGTAGTAGAGGGGGTTTGGCATATTATATACAGGAATACCTGTCTCGTATCCAGCACCGACCTAAATACACTTAGTTAAGGCTACACGTCACCTGTACCATACTAAAGTAATCCCTGTAAAGGGGGGATTAAAATAATCTCACAGCTTTTTACATTGAAAAATGCGTACCACTCCATCTATATACACGGAGAAGCACAACAATCGGTGTATATACACAGAGAAGCACAACACTCGTTGTATATACACAGAAGCACAGCACTCGTATATACACAAAGAAGCACAGCACTCGGTGCTATACATAGATGCACAGCACTCAGTGTATATACAAAGAGAGGCTCTCCTCTCAGTGTATATATCTCTGAAATAAAGAAAACAAGAAATAATTGACCTACAGAATGCTGAGAAAAAACATAAGTTTAACATGTTTGCTATTTCTATAAACAAGCTTTGAGGATAATTAAAAAAAAACTTACATTCCTGTTGTTTTTATTATTTTTTATATTTCTGAATGCATACACAGACACAAAAGCAATGACAGAGAGCAGACGTCACCACACACATTGCACGAGGCTTGAGCAGGGTATCTGCCCTTACGGCAGGCTCTGAACAATATGTAAAACAAGGCTCTTTCCTCTCTCCAGGGATTGAACCTTTGACCCTACGTGATGAGAGCCGCGAGTGTGACTACCCGACCAGCATAAGGCATGAGAAGGTCTGTCTCAGACAATGGTAGTTTCCATAGCCATCGACTGGCCAGTCTAGCTGATTGACAGTTTAATGGATTAGTTAGTTAAGCTGTCGATTTGCGTTGACGATCGATCATGTACTGCCATACATCCATGAATGTGGATTGGGAATTATCACAATGTTTTCAGTCAATATTTAGCAATGAATATACAGCTTATTATAAACAGTAAACAATGCGAGTAAGATGAGATGAAATACGTGCAACACTGAGATTTCTTTATTGTCAATAAAGATACTAAGTTTGCTCATATGTCTTTCTCATCAACGAGTATTTATTCGATTAACTTTTTAAGTTCTCAAATACGCAGAACGAGCACCGTCAATTAGATAATGCTTTTCTATAATAAAAGTTGTTTTTTTATTTGAAAAAAAAAAACTATACCAGTAAAGAAATCTTGCTCAGACAGGTTTTGTTCTCAGGTCTTGATCTTGGTGTACACATGTCTTAGTTTGCGCACTTGTGTCTTGGTTTGCATACGTCTTAGTCTACGTACTTGAATTTTGGTCTACATACGTCGTGGTGTGTGTATTTGTGTCTTGGTCTACATACGTTGTAGTCTGCTTACTTGCTTCGTGGTCTACATCTTTCGGCTCACTCAAGTGGCCACTGATATTTCTCCTGTTTCTTCACTTGTATTTCAAGACTTGTGTAACAAAGAATATACAAACCAAATGAATCCCAAACCATACCCCCGGCCGGGATTGAACCCGCGGTCATAGAGTCTCAAAACTCCAGCCCGTCGCGTTAGCCACTAGACTAACGCGACGGGCTGGAGTTTTGAGACTCTATGACCGCGGGTTCAATCCCGGCCGGGGGTATGGTTTGTTTGCAATCGTGTCATTACGATTTCTTAAGTCATGTTGACGGCAGTGAAGGGACTTGAGCTAGAGTTCGTCACGGCCACGCTAGCTGGAGATTCGTCTGTAAAAACTTGCATTTGTGGTCACAGAGGTGCCTGTGCTAACCTTCCTATGGTGTAGAAATATACCTAGTTGGATGAATCTTATTGTGGCTAGCTGGTCTAGTGGCTAACACGACGGGCTGGAGTTTTGAGACTCTATGACCGCGGGTTCAATCCCGGCCGGGGGTATGGTTTGTTTGCAATCGTGTCATTACGATTTCTTAAGTCAAATGAATCCCAATACAACTGATGCTTTTAACTACAGAGTTTCTGATCTGCAAGTTACTACTGCACGACGGATATTAAAAATGAAGAATATTAAACACGGATACGATGAATAATGAAACACAAACCAGCATAATGTGAGCCTTTATTGACGACGTTTAGCCCACTAACTGGGCATTAGCAAGTCACAAATTGTGACTTAATAAAGCTCACTGGACTGGAAAAACAATGACAATAAAGCATCGCATTATTACTGCATTAGTGTTTATTTTTTCCAGAAAAATTGGAACTAGGAATTTTTATTAAACAAGTCGTCCAGTTACTGACGCTTAGAGCTTTACTCAGAACCCAACGCCAACTCCAAGCATAAGGGATTTACCAACTTGAAGGAACTTTGAAAAGCTCTTTCAAGTAGTTCCTGATCAATGGAGCTACTGTGATGCTTACGTTGAACAGCGATACTGGCAGCACTCATACTCTGACCGACCAGGCCATCGAATAGGTGTTCTGGTCAAGCATTATTCCGAGGGAGCGTGTTACAGTCAGGTCAGTTCGTGTATTATGATCAGGTCAATACGCGCGCAGCAACACTCTGAAAGGCTCGAATTTAAGCCTTCTATATGCCTTTTTCACATAGTTAAATTAACAATCGGGGTATGAAGACATTAGGCAGTTGAAATTTTTATTTCAGTCGACTTATCGTTCATTATTGATCTTCATCAAGTCTCGAATTTCAAATCTCAATCATGATTGATGCGTCGCCAAATATAAAAATGCTTTCTCTGCATTACATATCTCTATTCCCGGTAAATGTGATCAGTTATTTGTCAGTGTAACGCGTGTTCCGAGTCAGAACTACACTGACACTCACTGAATATTAATATTCACATATATTTCGTTAGAAACTATGTACCAAAATACTGTTTAAAATTAGAGCACCTGTCGATCCCTAAACAATGGATATGCATTGGATTTTGTAAAGGATTTAGATGGATAACTAAACTAGAAGCAAATAAATGGCCGTTGAATGAAATGTGAATAACAATGATTTGTGTGTGTATGTGTGTGTGTGTGTGTGTGTGTGTGTGTGTGTGTTAAATATTCTCACCCAGTGAATTATTCATTGATATTTTAGTAATATATGTCCCACTTATTTTTACACAAAATAGCGTTATAAAATGTGTATTACTGAGGAATGTTTATTTCTTCACAAAAACATAACCAGACAAATAGGTAATCAGGTGGAATGACAGTCACAATACCGTAGCTGGAACAATGCACCAGAAGCCAGTCTTGAGGAGAGGACACCATACAACGTTTTGATTCGCCCTGTATCATTATCAAGTCGCAAAAACATCACCTAAAGTTTCCCCCTCCCAAGTGAAGATTGGTAAACATGAGACAGTTCACGTGTTAAAGTCGTGCACTTTGCATAATAAATAAACAGGAAGTGAGACTGGAATGGTGAATCTTTCCTTTCCAGGCCCAACGTTTCCCTCAAACAGAGCTTTACGCCAGTTTTCTAAAGCTCCCGTTGAGTGAAACATCGCTTATACCTATAGATTTGCGATGTTTACTTTCGTTTCCACCACATATCACCCTCACCCTCCCTCCTTCCCCTTCCCCCCCTCCCCCTCCCCTCCTCCTCAAAGCTGCCATTTCACCCTCGTCGAGAATTTATAAAAAAAAGGTAAATTTAATTTTATTATTCTCTGTAGGAAGATAAAAAAAAATATATATTGATAAGCTATTTAAACGGCTAACATTAATTTAATTTACAAGCATCATTGCTCTAATATGTAAACAAAAGAGATTGCGCACAGGGGGAAGAATTATGAAGGTTCGTGTGTGTGTGTTACGAGGACTCGGCCGTATATATATCTTTTGTTTCTGTGTATTTTATGCGTTCGTTTTCATGTGTTTATATGGGCAAAAGACATTTGTTAGAGAAACATTTCGCCACCAAGCCACGCATGGCGAAACGTTTCGGTAATGTTTTGATCAGTTATAAAGTGTCATATACACAAATAACCCGCACATGGAAGAGAGGAGCTTACGACGACGTTATTTGTGTATCGTTCCAGTCACGGTATTGTGCCTTTTTGTTATTTATGGAAGAGAGGAGCTTGCGACGACGTTTCGGTCCGACTTGGACCATTTACAAAGTCACACTGGTCCAAGTCGGACCGAAACGTCGTTGTAAGCTTCTCTCTTCTATGTGCGGGTTATTTGTGTATCGATCCACTCACGGTATTGTGCCTTTTTTGTTGTGTCATATACCTGCATAAAATATGATAAAATGATCACATAAATAAAATACGAAGAGAAAATAGATATTTGGGGAATAATAAATGAGTTTTTGTTATAACTATTCCAGTTCCGCTATTTCCTTTATGCCTATTTTTGTTTTGTATTCGTCACTAAGCCATTGCTTCTCCTCATAAACAAGAGTAACCTCCCAGAAAGTCTTGAATCATACATACGATTATTCGCAGGCATTGTTAAAATTACGAGGAGCGACCAAATGCACAAGGACTGACTGAAACAAAAATGGAAAAAGCTGCAAGACAGCTTCAACAGCGTCTAGAAATGGTCACAAAAGTAGCTACTTGCAATACACTCGGCCAAATACAGAGGTAATAATAAGGGGCGAATGTGTGAAAGAGACCGGACAGAACGTTCCCCTTGGGGGAGAGCAGCTTAGAAAGCCAAATTTTGGAAAAAGGTCTGAGAGTTGCCATTACACAAAACATGTCTCCAGAAGGACACAAAAAGAAGAGTATGTACACCGATAGGTATGTACCTCTCAGTGTATATATACGCTGAGTTGGAATTAAAGTATCACTGGTGCTGGGCAGGTGACATGCAGAACTCATGAACCTATGAGCAGCCAACGGATTTTAAATGAACCAATTAATCAATATCACATGAAAGAAATAACGTCGGTATCATACCAGCCAGGCAAACGTAAAAATGACAAGCACACTCTTAGAATACAAGCGTTTATATCACTATACACAACAGATTACAGCAGCGTTCTACCACTAGTAATGTAGAAAAGACAAAGGGGCACAGACAGCTTTTGTTGGGGCATCATTTATCTCTAGGTAGAAGCTTGTCCCAGTAAAAGCTTACTCTGCATCTGTATTTTTTCTTCAATATACACAACATGGGTAAGCGCAATCCTAGAATACACTGCGCCGTCTTGAAGCCAGCATCTAATTATAACTAATGAAACTAAAAAAATACCAAAGATTTGCATTATATTTAGCACATGAACAAGAAAATAAGAGCTACAAAACAGGACAGACGATCGGAATACAGGATACAGAATTAGATAATATAGACAAAGACAGTGTGAGTAAAACCACAGTGGAACATAAATGAAAATTCACAATAGATATAAGCCGGAGAAACATTTGGAGACATTTTTTATATTAAGTAGTGGGGAAGAGGATCCGTCTGGAACAACTCACATAATCAAGCCAGTTTTCATGAGATTATGAGGCTGACCAAAGAACATAATTAAGTAATATATTTAACAAGATTGTCGGCATAGTATCAGGGTAAATCAGTCTTTGGTATGAACATTCACTACAAACCATCCTAAGTCTCATTATACTTCACATTAAAGCTCATCTTTGTTCTGTTACTGAATGTATTTAAATGTCTCTGACTACCACTGTCGGTGTTTTTCACAATAAGCCATGCAGAAAAAAGCAATCTTTTCAAATTACGTTTGGCCAGTAATTTATCTAACACATGTGACGTTATTTTCTTTTGTGAATTGAGATTTTCATACCAAATGAAATTATTTGTCATAATTTAGCCTACGAACTGAGAGTGTAATGGAAACTGGAAGCGGAAGGATGTACGATGTAGAAAAATACTTAATAAACATAACGTATTGTAGCGCGGATTCCTATTAATACAGTCCAGTGCAACTGGATACAGCAACGAGACATCATGCTGCTGACAGCACATTTGTCCCCCTTTCTACCTCCTCATCAGCTCATCCAGCACCAAAAAGATATACTTCCCTTTCTCTTTTCCAAAGAAGTGTGAGTATGGACGTGGAGAATGTGGGATGATATGAAGCTGGGGAAACATTTGCTCCTAAGGCATTTGTAGGTACGAAAAAAATATACTCCAAGAATCATGATGGACGGAATACATGTAATAATGAAAATCACTATTGCTCTCTGTTGTGTTAATGCAAATTTCACCATAGACTTTTTTTCTTAGGTTTAACAGAGATTGTTGAGTGTAGTATCATGATATATTTACACTGATATATTTATACACACGATGGGGTTGAGAAGTATAGCAAAAAGTTCTCGATTGTCCTGGAAGTTCTGCGGGAAAGGCTGATTTTTCAAGAGTGTTATGAATGACACTGCACATGGACCAAAATGCCAGGATTGAGTTGATGATATTTCTCAATGAAGCTTTTGCCCGAGTGCGAAGGGAGTTCCCACTCCAGGAGTGGAATCGGAGTAAAGGTCATTGCATCACCTTATAACGGCAGAGGTTGACTGAAAGTAAAAGATAATTGTTATTATAACTTCTGAAGAGTCTTTAAATCTAGTGACAGAAGCGTAAAACTTTTGGATAGTCTATAAAGCTTCTGAACTATCTTTGAAACTTTTGATAAGTCCTTAAAACTTCTGAATGCAGTCATATAAAATATTAACCAGTTACCTACAGATCTTATTCTTATAAAGTCTTATTTTTTCATGATATAATCGCTAAAACAGTATTTCAATATTAAAAATAATTTTTGGTCTGCCTTCACTCCACACTTGACACGTTTCTTTCATTAACTTCATTTCTGTTTCTCGCTTACTTTTCCACTTTTCAGTCATCTCAACTTTCCCTTCACCCACCTTAAATCTTTCTCTCATATTCCTTATTATTTTCACCTATTTATACATATCTTACTGTTCGCAACTTTCACCCGCCATACGCTTTTCTCTCATGCAGGTCACAACTCACACCCATCTCACACCTTTCTCTAAGCCCACCTCACGAATTTCACCCATCTCACATTTTTCACCCACCCTGATCACAACTCTCACCCACCTCACAGTTGGCTCTGTAAGAAATTGGCAGCGCGGAAGTTCAAGTGGTCCGAAACAATGTTTGGCTTGACGGTAGTGAGAGGTACTGTCTCTGTGTGGGTGTCGAGCTGAGGATTTCCAGGATCACTGCTGAGAGGCACGCTTTGGATGTTGTTCTCCATCTGAGGAATCGCGAGTGTGCTGTTCAGGAACGCTGGCCTCAGTGAGTGATGGTACACATTACATGCGCTTCCTCCTCCTCCTGCCCCACGGCGACGACCAACAGAGGCACAACCAAATACACCTGCAATACGCATGGAAGTCAACGTGCAATGCATTCAAAAATACCTGCAATACTCCCCTGAAATTATCAACAAAACATCTGATTTACTCTCTCTCTCTCTCTCTCTCTCTCTCTCTCTCTCTCTGAAACTCACATCCTTTAATAATTCAAGAACACCCTTTGCTACCTAATTCATTGAATTTTCTAGCCTCTGAAAATTTTATATCTAAAGGCTTCAAGCTATTATATTACATATGTATAATGTGTGTGCGAGAGAGAAATACGATATGTGAAGAACGAATGAGTGAAAATTGAATGACTTGTGCAGAATGTATATCACCAGTGACTAATTGCCGTGTATGAGGGATATTTGACTTATGTCGAAAGTTTAACAAGTTATTCTATTTACTCCCTTTTCTTAAATCCTCTCTTTACATTTCTAACTCATTCTTCTTCACTTTAATACATTCTCATCGTCTTAACTATTTAGACAAAATGAGAGGCAGCTGGAGTGCACCTGCTCCTCCTCGGCATATTGCCTCGAAGTAGTTCTTGTTGATTCCTCCTTTATGCTCCTTCCCTCTACTCCCTTGTACTCCATGTACTTTCTATTTTTCTTCCCTCATGCAGGGTGCCTTGATGCTGGTGATCAGTTTTTGATCTAATGGATTGAAGCTCTTGCCTCACATACACTGAGGATCCGTGGTTCAATACCAGCCACGGGTGGCAACGTTGGGCATGTTTCCTTTCCTTCTGATGTCCCTGTTCACCTTGCAGTAAGTAGGTACCTGGGTGTTAGTCAACTGGTGTGGGTCGCATCCTACGCATCCGACTGACGGACCCCAATACAAATAAGACAGACAATCGTCTGTGACGCCCTGACTTTCTTGGGTTATTCTGGGTGGCTAACCCTCCCCCGGATTAAAAATCCATACAAATCTTATCTTATGTCTTATTTTCCCAGTGCTTTATGACTCCGCGTTAACCGAATCACCAAGATTTTAATTAATTCTCACCTTATAGGACTGCTCACCCACACATTCACTCTACTCACCATTGCGTGCATTCAGTCGCTCCCTCGAGGAGTACACAACAAGGTGGTTGGGGTTGTTGGAACGTAGTGATCCCGGGTTGGTTCTTAAAGTACCGTTCACCCCCTGGCGGGAATCTGAAAAAAAATGAGAAAAAAAGAAAAAAAAGAAAATCAAAATGTTCGACTAATTCCTGGAGTTTATGACTAATATAGATTTCAAATATCGCTTCTGGAACAATTCGCAAATAACCCACAGTGTGGATAGGACCTAGATGAGGTTATGGTCCGCTCGTGACCATTATCAAGTTACAGCTTGATAATTCAAATTCAAATTCAAAGTTTATTCTCTGTAAGGATTACAATGCTGAGTTTACAGAATTTGGTTATTGTATTGCTTACATGTAGTAAATAATTACAGAGTGTACCACTAGAACACCTAGCATGGCTAGGCATTTCGGGCAGACTTAATTTAAATCTTAAGTTTAAAATATTACAAAATTCTGAGGTAAGTTGGTATTATGGCTTAGTGACTAAATACTAGTTTGTGAGTTTAGCAATGTGAATGCTTTTGTTTTGGCACTATACATAGTTTCAGTATTGGAGTATCACAGGCCAACTTATGACTAGTTAAGATTCATTATTTTAAGATTGAGATTGATATTTCTGTTTATGGTCAAATGGGTGAGTGAGTGTAAGTGTTAACCACCAGGTGGTATTCGTGTAATTAGTTGACAGAGTGTATCAGGGAGATAAGATGTTTTCTGATGGTAGTTTTGAAGGTGATGAATGTGTCTGCAGTTTTAGAATTTTTCAGGTAGGGTGTTCCAGATTTTAGGGCCTTTGACATACATTGAATTTTTGTAAAGGTTTAGTCGGACACGGGGAATGTCATAGAGATGTTTGTGTCTGGTATTGTGCCTGTGGGTTCTGTCGCAACTATCAAGAAAGCGTTTTAGGTCAAGGTTAATATTGGAATTTAAGGTCCTGTAGATGTAGACTGCACAGTAGTAAGTGTGGATGTACTGAACATGGAGTAAGTTTAGATCTATGAAGAGTGGGGGGGGGGTGTTGCCAGGGATGGGATTTAGCGATTATTCTTACTGCGGCTTTTTGTTGGGTTATTATTGGCTTTAGGTGTGTTGCTGCAGTTGAACCCCAAGCACATATAGCATAGGTGAGGTATGGATATATAAGTGAATGGTATAGTGTGAGAAGGGCAGTTTGCGGCACGTAGTATCGTATCTTGGAGAGGATCCCATCCGTTTTGGATACTTTTTTGGTTATGTGTTGGATATGGGTGCTGAAGTTCAGGTTGTTGTCGAGGTATAGGCCTAGGAATTTGCCTTCATTATGCCTGGCAATTAGAGTGTTGTCGATCTTAATGTTAATTTGCGCATCTCCTGCTCTGCTACCAAACACAATGTAGTAGGTTTTGTCAGTGTTAAGCGTAAGTTTATTGGCTGTCATCTAAGTCGATATTTTGATCAGCTCCTCATTAACAATGGTGTTTAGGGTGGCAAGATTAGGGTGAGAGATGACATAAGTCGTGTCGTCAGCAAAGAGAATGGGGTTCAGGTGTTGAGATACGTTTTGAAGATCATTGATGTATATGAGGAAGAGCAGGGGACCAAGGACACTTCCCTGCGGAACTCCAGTATCAAGTGGCTGTGTTGTTGATGCTGTGTCTTTAATGGTGACATACTGATACCTATTAGTAAGGTAAGATTTGAAATATGCAAGCGCATGGCCTCTTATACCATAATGGTCAAGTTTGTGGAGTAGGATGCCGTGGTCTACTGTGCCAAAAGCTTTTCTTAGGTCAATAAAAATTCCTAGTGGATATTCCTTATTTTCCAATGCTGTGTAAAGCAGATCTAGCATTTTTATGATTGCATCGTTAGTGCTTTTATTTTTCCTGAATCCAAATTGGCAGGGGTTGAGTATGTTTTGTGCCGTTATAAATGAATATAGTCTCCTGTGCACGAGTTTCTCAAAGATTTTGGATAGCAATGGTAAGTTTGATATTGGCCTATAGTTGTTTAAATCTGTAGGGTCACCACCTTTATGTATTGGTGTAACCCTTGCCGTCTTGAGTAGTTTCGGGAAGGTGCTAGTTTCTAGTGACTTGTTAAAAAGTAATGAGATAGCATGCGAGAGGACATGGGCCGCTCTCTTGTACAATAATGGTGGGACATGAGACAGATTCCCTGAGTTATTTTTAAGTGACTTTATAGTCTCGTGACTTCCATGGGCTCAGTTGGAGCAAGATAGAAGGAATTAGGGAAATTCCCATCTAGGTAGTCCCCGGCATGGGCATTGGTGCGTGGGATTTTATTGGCGAGATTAGAACCTATGGTTGAGAAGAAGTCGTTTATCTTGTTAGCTGTGGCAGTGGTGTTTCATTAGGTTTAGTTAGGGCAATATCTTGTTTTTTTTTCAGTTTTTGGGTCCCTAGAATCTGAGAGAGTGTTTTCCAGGTCTTTTTTATATCTCCTCTTGTGTCAGTGAATCTACTGGAGTAGTATAGTTATTTGGCTTTCTTTATTACTTTGGTGAGGACTGATGAATAGTGTTTAAGAATATCTTTGTGTATTAAGCCCTGTCTATATTGCTTTTCATATTGGCGTTTCTTATCAATGGATTTCATAATGGTGCTGGTTAGCCATGGGCAACCAAGCCATTTGTTTGTGATCTGTTTCGTTTTTATAGGACAATGTTTGTTGTATAGTCTAAGTAATTTGTTAAGAAAAATGTCTGTCCAGTCGTCAATACCATTGGCCTTGGAGAATTCTGTAGGCCAGTCAACAGTCTCTAGGTCAGCTGTGAACTTCCTTATTGAGGCCTCATCATGGAGTCTAAATGAAACTTTGTTGTATTCAAGTGGTGGTTTACTAATGTTTGTCAAGAGGAAGGTAGGGTAGTGGTCTGTAGTGCTATCTGTGATTATCCCTGATTTAAGGGGGGCTAGTATATTGGTCCATATGTGGTCTATTATGGTTGCACTCGTTTCAGTGAGCCTGGTTGGTGTAGTTATTGTTGGTATGAGAAGTGTGTTGTTCATATTGTTGATGAAATCAGTTACAGGCTGATCATCTAGTAGGCCAAGGTTGATGTTGAAGTCTCCGGCTAAGAGAAGGTGGTGCTTATTCATTTGTCTGTTTGTTATTAGTGCCTTTAGTTTCTCACTGAAATTTGGGATGTTTGTGTGGGGTATCCGGTAAATGGCACCGATTGTTATAGGCGTCTTAAGGTTTTTTACAGTAAAATTAGCAAAAATGTATTCTTCATATTCATCACTAAAGCAAGTGGTGCTAATACAAGATAATTGGTTAGAGTAATAGATTGCAATACCACCCTCAACTTGGTATGGTCTGCAGTTGTGGATTGCTGTGTATCCTGGTAGAGCGTAGATATCTATTATGTCCTGCTTAAGCCAGGTCTCAGTAAGAATAATGCAGGAGAAGGGTGTCTTTAGTGATTCAAGGAGTGCCAGGAGGTCATCATAGTGTTTGCTTAAGGACCTGATGTTGTAGTTAAGTACTGATAGACTTTAAGCATTGTTTAGGATAGTGCTGGCTTGTGATGCTGTGTAGTAAAGGCAGTTACTTTCCAATAGGTTTTGATTGTGTGTCAGATTATGGAGATTTAGATCAGGGTCAACGTGATCAATCATCTTCTAGGTTTAAATTATGGTTATTTATATCCTGAGTTGTATCCTGAGTTATTTATATCCTGAGATGTTGTTTATCTCTGATAGAATCTGTTCCTAGGCTTCATTTTGCCATTTCATAGGATCTGCAAACAGAGAAAGACACGATTCGATTCACTTTGGCCTATCATAAGCTAGTAGTAGCATTAGTTATGAAGCTTGTGGTACCTTCTGAACCTTGTGGTACCTTCTGAACCTTGTGGTACCTTCTAAACCTTGTCGTATCTTCTGAACCTTGTGGTACCTTCTGAACACTGAAGTACTTTCTGAACCTTGTGTTACCTTTTGAACCCCCTATGGTACCTTCTGAAACTTATGGGACCCTACTTGTTGCATTCCATCATGCTGATACCTCCGCTTGTAGTCACTCTTTGTCTTCTGCCATTAAATCTTTTTCCTAGATCACTGAATCTCTCTTCCTGTGAGCCTTGGCTGCCATTCTAGTTTGTGCTGAGGAACAGTTTTAATGGTTTCATTGCAGTCTTGGAATATGCGGTCCACTCATTCACGTCTTTCGTAATTATCCATTTGTAATTAACTATTTGTAAGTATCGGAACAGAGATTTGCACTTGGTGTCCCTTCTAGTAAGTCGTCCATATAAGCTGTAAATATTGAAGGGACACTTGCAATATTTAGAATTTATGTGGCACCCTCCTGTTAATATTTTTGTGATAGTTGTATAATTTCATATGAAAGGTTTAACTTGTTGTGTGTGTGAAAGGAAAGAGAGAGTAATAAATCAATTTTTTACTGTCGGCCTGCCCACGGTGATAGTAGCCATTATTCTTGAGTCCAGGTAATAAACCTGGAGATTAAATAATAATAACACCAATTGAGTTTCTCTCCTCTCCTCTTCTCATCTCTAGTCACTCTTCATTGTTCCTTACACAACACACCCAATACATAATACAACACCAATATACACACACACACACACCCCCACCACCATCCACACACACACACACACACACATTCAGTGCTTGTTTTCCCACAGCATTATTTCTCTCATGGTTAAAACATTCCAACTCCTTTTTAATACATATCCAGGAGACTTTTACTCAGTTTGTTAAGAAATTTTTTGTTGTAACTCGTTGCAACAGTTTCTCTAACTTGTCAGTCATTGCCTCTATCTACTCAATGTATTCAACTAATTTTGTTGGTACCTACAGTAATTAATATTCTCATATCAGGGTATTTTTGCTTCATCTACGAACATAGAACTACAAAAACTAAAGAATAACAAGAGAGCAACAGAGAGGTGAATTAATTGACAAACATATTATAAAGAAACACTGTCGGATAAATATTAATAATAGTAGTGCTAAGAAAAATATATGGTAAATGAAAAGAGGGAAGAGGTGTGAAGAAGAGAGACGGAAAACAGTGCTTATCAAATACGGGAGTAGGAAAGCAGAGGACATCTAGATTAAGCAAGACGCAGCGAAGGATTTAGAAAGATTATCAGACCAAGAAAATAATGGGGACAGAAAAACTGTGAACGAGAAATCCCTCGATCAGACGGAAAAGTTAAGTCGCGAGGTGAGGTCAGACTAACAAGAGTGCATGCAGAAAGAGATCACCAGACCGAGAGCTGGAAATTCACAGGAAGGATAAAAAGAAATTTGTCAAAAAGAGAAGGAGAACTTCACGATAACGAGGGAGATATCATATACTGAATAATAGTTCAAACTTGCTAACGAGAACCTCACCAAAACGACAGCGAGAATTTCATCAAAATGAGAACTAGAGATTTGCCTGAATGAGCAGGATATTCCCATAAGATAGAAACACTAGAACGAAAGCGAAATATTATTTATAATAATTCATGTCAAGCACTAAACCCATGTGACTAATTCACCACAAGACGTGGTGGAGGCTTGATCCACCGTCCGTAGAGCGAGAGACAGAGGAGGGCTTCCTATTTGTACTCGCCTAGAATATTTTTTCCATGAAAACGAAAGACTTACCAGACCGTGAGCGAGAGGAAGGGTCGTCACAGGGGGGGTATCTCCGCTGTAGTTGTGGCGAACCATCATAACTAGAAGTACGACGAGGACACTTGAGGCACAAGCATTTCATCACCACCTCCCTGAAGTACGACCTGAACCTGCCGAGGAGGAGAGTGAGAGAGTGTCAGTAGGTACTCACATCTTTAAATCTGTACGACCCGAGGCAGATATTGCAAAAAAAGAGGGTGAACTGGAGGAGGGAAAGGTTAACTTACCTGGCATTCATCCAATAATAGATGACGGGGTTGATCATAGCATTGGCCATAGCCAGCCAGTAGCAGGCCAGGTAGATGTGTTGTATGTACGCTGTGCCCAGGATCTGAGAGTTATGGAAGGTGTACAGGAAGAACGCCTGCTGTGGCAGCCAGCACAACCCAAACATGGTTACGATGATGATAAACATCTTAACTACCTGAGAAAGAGAGGTTAGATTAGGTAAGCTTTGTCAGGAAAAAGGACAAGTATTTCCTGACGCGGGTCTTAGTCAGATGATAACCCCTGAGCTTACCTATGGAGGTCCTTTGTGAGGCTCTTGATTTAGGGAATTGGATCGTGCCTCGTTCCACCGAATTAAGCCTGATGCTCCACCCCTTCCCCCTAAAGGGCTGTATAACTCGGGTTTAGCGCTTCCCGATTGATAATAAAAAATGGAGCTTTAGGTCATGACTGAGGCCTGTCCCGATTCCGGTCCACCCCTTAAATAAGTTGCTTATTTTAGTATCGTGAGAGGAGATGTAGTGAACCTTGCTGTGTGATTGTCCCCTGAATATTATTTCGTGTTCTTATCGGTTGTTACGATTTATGCTAACTGTGTTGCTGACCCTGACTTTTTTTTTACACATTATTTTACTCTCTCAATATTTTACTGAGACTTTGAACAGATAATATTTTTGCTATCTTCAACTTCTGCATATTTACATCATGAAATGTTAAATATAATTTTAAAACTACCAAGGTGTATACCCAGGCTATGACATAATCCAAATAAATATACACACGCTGGTTTTAAGTAAATATTCCTGCCAAAAATTGTCCAAAGGGTCTCCGAACTTCAGAATTTTTAATAAAAATCCTGCAGTGTTTGTACAACAGCTGACGGAATTGGTGTCGTACCAAAAAAGAGAACAGGTGAGTAAAACCTCGAACTTGATTCGAACAGTGGAGAGTCATGTTTTCTGATAAAAACATTCAACGAAACGGAAAGTCGTTTGAACCTTTGCTAAACGAAAGACCTATATTTAATAATATTTATATTTATATACGCCAAGGGGCATATTGCCTCAGAGGTATATTCACAGAGTTTATTTAATACCTTATTTGATTTCATAAAAATCTCTGCTAGGGGAAAATGTGTCAAGAGATGAATGATTTGTCGATAAATTAGAAGACAAAGTCACAATATTCTGAATTTTCTTTTTTCAGGACCACGTTTCGCTCTGCACAGAACTTCCTCCTGACTTGATAAAGCTGGTAAAGCAAAGAAGCTGCAAGCACACGAGTGAAAATACACAGAACAACGTTTAAATCTTTTATTTCTGCAACATTTCGCTCATCGTTCATTTATTAAGCCCACTCAATCGAAACGTCATTATAATAAAGGCTGGCACTGCTTATGTGTTTTTTCAAACAACAAAGAATAAGTGAAGAAAAATATTACAAGTAACTATTACAAGTAACTATCATGACTCACGAAATCGTAATAACAAAATTGAAAACAAATCAGGGAACGAGTGGGTTTCGACCCCATGGGGAGTGAGTTATGAAACTCTAGAGGCCAGTGCGCTAACCCATCGGCCAGCTGGAGGAATCTTATGAGAGCCAGAGGGTCGGGTGGGGTTCAAACCCCACACGTTACGTGATCTATTAAAAGAAAGAATTAGACTATGGTACTCTTCACCGACTCCAAGGCTGGACTCATTACCTCATCTTTTGTGATGAGTGGTCTTGAAAACCGTCAAGATGAAGAATTGAGACATGCAGCATATAGGAATCTTTATTGAAGAAACGTTTCGCCACACAGTGGCTTCATCAGTCCAATACAAAGTAGAAATGGGTAAGGAGAGGAGGAGTTTGAGGTAATCAGTCCCTCAGCTTGGAATCGATGTGTTCAGTCCATCACTCTTGTAGGAAGTACAGCATTGGGCCATAGAGGTGGTTTATATACTTATATATCTCTTATTGTATAGTCTACTGTCTTCCCTTTAAGTCCTTGAATTTGCATTAATATTGCCACTGGATAGTAAAACGTATAAAGCCAATATACCAGGATGTTGTACAAGAGTCTAATTCTTCATCTTGTCGATATTGTATACATGTTCAGCATTAAAAGTAAATTTGACACGCGGCACCACTCACTCTTCGCTTGGATCTGATACTGGTCACTTGTCGGTCTGTAAGCTCACCGATGCTCCGGCTTCCCCACAGCTCTCTCCCGATGAGGTAGTAGCATACCAGCATCACCAGCATAGGCAGCAGGTAGGTGGTGATGAAAAAGACGATGTTGTATCTGAGGTCGAAAAGAAAAAAATATTCGTATTGAGTAGAATGAATAAAGAATGAGCACAGGGTGCCATAAAGACACACTTTATCATATATGGCATGCGTCCTGGATTTGCAGGAAAGTGTTTTTTTTTTCATTTTATATTTAAGTTATATATGGGTTATTCTCATGGGAGGATCTGGGCAATCTAGGCGGTCTCCCACGCTGCCCAGTTAAATGGGGGAGATTATTTCGAGAAAGAAAATGTGACGTAACTTTCATGAAATGAAAATTTCTGCCCCTCGTATTTATGGATGGGAACGCCAGTTGCATACCTGGCCTAGGACGTCACCAGCTGTTGGCTAGTGTAGGGCCTCCCCTCTCACTTGTTTTCTATTAACACTTGATGAAGGTAAATTATTCTGCTTAGTTGACATGAAAATTAAGTGGCAAACGTAGCAAGACTGTTAATGTGTATTTTAACAGGAGGGGTGACGTTCACGTGTTCTACAAAGTTATACTTCCTTAACACAAATCATTTTTAACTTCACAGGAAACGACTAAACCTTCGAAGGGTCATTCATCTCCTGGTTAAAGGGAGGTAATTAGGTTTATCCCAGAGAAGGAGAGAGGACAGCAATAATTCCTTCTACCAGTGTCAACGAACTTCAGTCCCCCCTGTCTCTATACACTGAATGAAAACTGTAAATCCTTCACTGGTTGACTGAAAACAACCTATTTTCTGTTGCACATCTTGGTGCGACTCCAGAATTTTTAGATCGCATTCTTTTCACAGGAATTTAAAAAAATCCATTGTGCCGGATTTGCTCAAAGTCGGATACACTGAAGCGAAGTGTTAACATGGTTAAGGGTGAAGTGGGAAGTGGGAGAGTGAGTGACCGCATGTGGAAAGTGGGAGAGGAGTGGGACGGAGGGAGAGAGACACAGAAGCGTGTTAATTGGCTTGCCTAAACGATGGGACGAGTAAGGAAACGGAGGCGAAGCTGAAGGAAGAGATATGGATGAAGGGA